ATATCTAATAATGAAGTGTTCGTTTTCAATTTAAGCCTGTTTCCTTGGACCCTGTTAGTGGAATTTAAGGAGCATGGCCCAGGATCTATATGATTCTGAGCAGCTTCCTCAAGTTTTCTGTGCCTCCATTTCTTCATTTATAGAGATAATAGTGAAGTCTTCTTCATGGGATTGTTGTGAAGGATTAAAGGAATAATTACACTACATCCTTAGACTCGTGCCCGCCCCGCAGAAGGTAGTACCTGTTAACATCTGTCAGTGCTGCTGCTGCTACTGTTACAGTTGTCATCATCATCTCAATCTCCACCAGAGGGCAGGGCATTCTCTAAAACCCAAGCGTCAGCAAACTATGACCCTTTGTTTTTGTAAATAAAGTTTTATTGGAACACAGCCATGCTCTTTCCTTTACATTATTGTGCTACAAAGGGAGAGTTAGACACCTACAACAGGGATCACATGGCCCACAGGGTTTCAACTATTTTCTCTTTGACTATTTATAGACAAAGATTGCTGACTCTTGCTCTGCCCACCTTTCAGCCCCTTCTACTGTTAATGTGTTGAGTGCTTTGGGAGAAACACCAAGGACTGGTGCATTAGAGTGACCTGACAGCTGGTAGAAGGCAGATAGATCTCTGCGAGTGAAGCAGGAGGGACAGGCAAGAGCGTGGAGAGAGGAGAAAGCTGGGGGTGGGCAGAGAACATCCTGAGAAGGGGCTGGGGTGAGATGACTTTGCAAGCCTCCTAGCCCAGCCCCGAATAGGTCCTGACCTGGGCTTTTTTGAGGCTGGATTGTATCTGGCAATAGTTGGGGGAGGGTTTTCTCATTTTCCACTGGTCAGTAGCTTTCTTCCTCTAAGTTTCCCATCACTTTCTCAACTGGTCAGTTTACAAAATGTCCCCACTGAGATCAAAGCAAGTCACGCCGTTCGGTAGCTTCAGACAGAATTATATTTCACTATTTTTCCATCAACACTACAACTCATTACCTACTATGTGTCCGACACTGGGGCAGGTATAGGAATTTAACTGTGGACCTTACCCAGAGAGTGCATAATCTATTTTTTAACTGCAAAGTCATAAACCCTTCCAACCAAGGACTTAAGGTTCCAGCCTCACTCACTTGATACCTTGGGATGCTGAGCAAGTGCCCAGGATTGCAAATAAATGGTAACTAATTAACACCTGCAGTCAAGGTCATAAAATCTTCAGGGCAAGCTGTGTCCACTGAAGACCTCTGCTCTCATCACCAGAGATTCTGCTGAGCAAAGAATGGGCTGAGCTGTGTTCTCAGTGCCTGTCTTTTGCTTGCTGTGTTTCTGGCACCTGTGGTTTCCACATGCTGTGTCACTAGGTCCTTCCATCAGCTCCGTGAAGTAGCCCCCCATCCATTCTATACATGGAGAGCAGATGCTCAAATTGCCACAGCTAGTCAAATGGTGGAGGTGGGATTTAAATTCCTGCCCCTGGGACTTCAGAGCCACCATTATAGTGTATTGTTCAGCTTCTTAAAGAGAAGGAGGAGGAAGATAAAAAGCACATCTGGCTGGAAACAAGAAAAAGTGGAGAGCATTAAACAGTGTCTGCTGTTTGAAATCCTGAAACCTCAGATCTAATGGGGAGAAGTTCCAAAGCAATAGCTTTGCACCCCCCCCCCCGCCTCAGCACTTTTTTTTGGAAACAAATTCCTACTTCCTGGCTTCCAGAGTTAACAAATATTCACTTTTGCCATATTGCCTCAGAATTTGAGAACAATTAAACAGCACATTGAAGAAATAAAAGTCTCCTATGTTTTCCTCCCTGATTCTTAGAGCCAATTATTCTTAGTAAGTGGATCTTTGTTGAGTCCCTCCCCACCCATGTTTTAGATTGCATACTAGATCGTATTTGGAGACACTTGCCATTTTAGCTGTTGAGCGAGTTTGTTTTTGGCTTTGGTTTTTAAATCTTAGCGATTCTTCCAGTGGTTAGAGACTCTTTTTCTTCTCTTTTTCTCTCTGGTAAACCAGAGTCAGTCCCAGATCCCTTCTGCCCCTCAGAAGCAGGCACCCGGGTGATATTCCCCATTTGATAGTTTGGGAAGACCTTGTCTCTGCCTCTTGAAATGGCCTAGTGACAGGAAATGCTATTCTGAGAGCTGGACCAGGCTCCTGGACAATCATTGTTCTGAGCAGGGAGGTGTGAGCTCCAGACCTTGATGATTGCTCTGATACCAAAAATTCTTTCTTATCCCCTGTGCATGAGAGAATAGGGTGGTATGTGCGTGTACTCAGCACTATGCTGGGGATGGGGGACAGAGTGCTCTGTGCACCTCTCTTCCCAATCCTGCATTCAGTGACAATGATACAGGACAGGTGGCGCCCCAGCCAGCTCAGCTGAGCTGGGCTGGAGGACCAGCCGCCTCCGCCTTAGCGGGGTTGGTGTGGAGGCAGCCGGCAGAGGAACCAGCGTGCTGGAGCGTAGGCAAGGGACAGGGGGAGCCTCCCTCCCCCACTGGAGTCTTCAGTAGCCAAAGGGACCGGACAACTGCTGAGGAGACACCGGCATCTTGGTGTCTCCTTCCCCTTTACACTTATGACTTAATAGAAACCCCCTTTTCCTATGCCTAGGTCAATTTCATGTAAGTTTCCTAGGCCTCAGTTCTGCGAATGGACTGTGCCCATTCATTAGTACATTCATTCACCTGCCCCAGCGGAAAGACTATGTGGATTCATTTCCTGGCCTCATACAGAAGGAACCCATGCACCTATATAGACCGCTAAACGGGGAGAGACGGAGAGAAAAAAACGGAGAGAGCTTTTCTCTCCCGACTTGGGTTTTGTTTCCCTACCAGGAACTTTAGTGTTTTTGTATTCTTTTCTGTAAATAAATTCTGTCTTGCCACTGATCTGTGGTCCACGAATTTATTCTTCAAATCACCGAGACCAAGAACCTGAAAGTCCAGTATCAGATTTGGTGAGCCAGCCAAGAGAGAAGACGAAATTCCAGTATCAACATCATATTTCACTGGAAATTATAATGTAGCTTGAAATTAACCCTGGCGGGAATGTTTGCACCTTGGAAATTAACAAACGCTACAAATGAAGGCTTGTTTTCTTTCTTTGTTTTCAGATAGCTGGGTAAGCATTTACCCGTGCATGACTGGATATCGCCCATAATTTATTTTTTCTTCTGTTATAAACACATTACCCCATTCTTTACTATCACCCAAAGTACTGTAATGAACATATGTGGTACTTGTACACACATATGTGCCTAGCAGTGGAGTTTCTAGCCTATGAACTCTGCAGAATTCAACCTTGTCAGACAGCATCAAGTCACTGTCCTACCAGTGTATGAGACTTCCTATTTCCTCACCGTTTTGCTGACACTTGGTATTTGGTCGTCTTCAGTTAGCCGATCTCAGCTTGAAGAGGCATTTCATGTTATTTGAATTTGTATTTTTTTCCTGAATTCTTGTGGGGTTCAAAATATTTTTATGTATTTATTGTTCATTTGGGTTTTCTTGTGATTTTTCTATTCATATACTTTGTCCATTTTCCTCTTAAACCATATCATTTTTTTCTTATTGATTTTTATAAAAATTCTTATAGATCCTGAAATTTTATTCAATTATATACAGTATAAATGCCTTCTCTCATCAGTGGCTTGTCTTTTAGTTATGTTTTTGTCATAAAGAAGTATAAGGGTTTTTTTTTTTTTTTTTGAGACAGAGTCTCACTATGTCGCTCTCAGTAGAGTGCTGTGGCATCACAGCTCACAGCAGCCTCAAATTCTTGGGCTCAAGTGATGCTCTTGCCTCAGCTTCCCAAGTAGCTAGATCTACAGGTGCCTGCCAGAACACCTATTTCTGTTGCAGTTGTCATTGCTGGTCACCTGGCCCAGGCTGGATTCGAACCCACCAACTTTGGTGTATGTGACTGGGGCCATTATCACTGTGCCATGGGCACCGAGCCAGAAGTATAAGTTTTGATATAGCCAAAATTATGATTCTTTTCCTTTATCACTTCCACGTTTTTTCTTTTCCTTGCTTAAGGAATCATTTTGAACTCAGAAGTACAGGCTAATTTTTCTATATTTTCTTTTTCTAAGTTTTGATTTTCCTATTTACATTTTTAATTTATCTAGAGTTTATTTTTGTGGATAAAATTGTAAAAATTTAATTTTTTCCTCATCCAGAAATACTATTGTTCTAAATACTATTATTGAAGAGACTAAAGTTTCCCTGTTCATTTTTTGGTTCCTCTTATATACAAAAGACCCGTGTGTGTTTGCCTTTGACTGATTCTCCCTATCCTGTTCTGGAGACTCATTTGATCTTTCTTTCAGGCAATATTACACTCTCTGATGACTGTAACTTGATAAGCTTCTTGATATTCTATTAGGGTAGTTCCTTTCTCTTTACACACTCTTTTCAGAACTTTCTCATCTATTATGACTGGTCTATTCTTTCATAAGCATTTTAGAAACAATTTGTCAATTTGGCAAACTTTACTGAAAACCCTGTTGGAATTCTTACTGGAATGACACTGAATTTATAGATGAATATCAGAATAATCTGTGAATATTTCTCTGTCTCTGTCTCTCTCTCTTCATATATATGAAGAGAAAGATAGAGGCACAAAGGTAGAAGGTCATGTCTGTATGCCTTTTAATAGTTGTTTTATAACATTTCCATAAAACTCAAAATTCATCTTTTATTAGAGTTAAATAATTCACAATCATTTTATGTATTATTCTATTTCTATCATTAAGGGAATCTTTTATCCATTATATGAAGAGTTATGGCTGATGTTTAAGAATATTATTCATTCCTATATGCTAATGTCAGTATTGATAGTTTCCATTTTTTTGCAGTTTGGAACTTAAGTTTTTAAGGTGGACCTGGTATCAGTCCTTGAAGGGAGTCAATGAAGTTACCTTGGACTACCTTTTCTAACACTACAGTACCTATGGAAGGGTCAAAGTTTCTAATATGACAGTTAGGGCAAAGTCTAAAAGGTATTTATGACAAGATGTTTTTGCTAATATCAGTTCACTTGCAACAATGGTTTGGACTAAATCCACTTACCTTCTCTCTTTTACCCTGATTTTTGCTCACACAGCAGCTGTCTCGGTAAGTAGAGCTCTGCTCTTTGGGATTTTTGGAAATATTAATTCTAGTGGACATTATCGATTTACTGTACATTTGTTTTCTTTCAGATTAAGCATCTTTCTAAAGGAAATGGTAAGTATCAATATAAATGCATAGAGAATGCTTCGGAGCATTTTCTCTTTTGTTCAGCAAACACTAGTAACTTTTTTTTTCTTCTCATTTTTAACAGTACCTGATTCAGATCTTGGGGAACAGAAGGATATTTCAGAAATCAATCTAGGTGGGTTCAATTTTTTAGATCATTAATGTGGTGAAAGCATTGCTAAAAATCACTTACCCTCATGCTGCATTGTATTATTAAGAGAGTTGGGAAAGAACATTTATTGGTGCTTTATTAGGATTTTCAGTTTCTGAAAAATGAAAATGTAGAAAGAGAAAGATGGTTAGACCACATTTTCCAGGAGACCTAGTAAGTCCTCAGTGGATCTAGAAATACGTAACAAGTTGTCAGTTCATAAAGATTTTATTTTTCCAGTTTCTATTTTCAAGAAAAAGAAAGAAAAATGAATAATTATTCTGCTTAGGGAAGAAGCCTTTAGGTTATGTTTAGTGGGAGAGGGGGAACCCAGCTCCACCCTGCCATTGACACAGCCCATTCACTAACAACTGGGTGGTTGGGACTTAGAGAAGAGTGTAAATACGAGTAGTGTATTTCTTAAAGAACCACCAGTCCCATCTATTGCTGAGGGGAGAGAGAAGCTGAGTCATCATCTCTTTTTCCCTTCTGTTGTTCCGATTCTAAACATGAGAGAGAGGCCCCTGGATTCCAGGTGTTTGGTTAGGATTGCTGGGAGCAGACGTACTTAGGAGCATGACGGCCTGAAGTTCACAAAAGCGCTCATATCTAGTCATGTATTTGTTTGTCCAGCCTGTACTGCAGTAAGTGTTGTTTTCATTTTGTAGGCAAGGACAGGGGGCCCCTTCCCGTCCCATCCGTGTTGGTGCTCGGGCTCCCTCCAGGCCTTCTGCCTCATACCTCCATAGTTCAGTGCTATCTGAAGACTGCAAAACTAAAAATCCCCTACCTAAGGGTGAAGTTTCTCTGGCCTTGTCTCATTCACAGGGAAGGCAGCTAGCTAACATTTGATCAGAATAGGTTGAGAATGACTGGGGGGAGAGTAGAAATAATTAAATAAATTCGGAAGGGGGTCCAGTGACTCATGCCTGTAATCCTAGCACTTTGGGAGGCCAAAAGCTGAAAGATTGCTTGGGGCCAGGAGTTTGAGGCCAGCCTGAGCAAGAGTGAGACCCCATCTCAACAAAACATTTTTATAAAATGAGCTGGGTATAGTGGCACATACCTGTAGTCCCAGCCACTTGGGAGGCTAATGAAGGATTGCTTGAGCCCAGGAGTTTGAGGTCGCTGTGAGCTATTTTGATGCCATTATACTCTTACTTGGACGATAGAGACCCTGTCTCAGAAAAAATATTTTTTTTTTAGAAAGGTCAATGGGTGTGTGTCTAAATGGATTTTGAGCCAGGTACAAAAATATCTCTCTTTAGAGTCTGTGAAGGTGTATATCTTTGAAGGTGTATACAGTTCAAAGGAAATGGTGTATTTTAAAACAGGGCTGGGATTACAATTAGAGTTTTTCTAATCTCATTCTTACTTCTCTAGCAAAAATTAAATATTTACCTCTGAGACATTTCTTATCCCTAAGCCCCACCACCACTTGGTCCCTGAACTGTGACCTCAAAGAGAAATCTCTTTGTCATGTGAATCCTCTTTTTAGGCCATTCCAATCCAGCCAAGAGGATTGATGGGGGTAGCCGTGTAGCCAGAGTCTGACATCATATTGACTGGGAAAATCGTTTAGAGAAAGTTGCCACCTCTTGACCCCTTTCTCTCCATGTGACCCAGTGCTGACCTAACCTTTCTTCTCCTGGGCCCCAACTTCTGCTCCTCACGTTCTTTTCATTTTAGTAAATGCAGCCCTCTCCTTCTTGAGTTTAGGCTTAGATGCTCAGAGTCTCTCCTGTCTCTCTCTCGTACCCTCTACACAACACCTGCTATTAGATCTGCCTTCAGATTCTAGCAAGTCAAGATTCTGTAGGATATTCATCGTCCCCACCCCAGTCAGACACCGCACATCTGGCTGGTCCTTCCAGTGGCCTCCTGACTGTGCTTCCTTCTCTGTCTGCATCCCCCACCCCCACCCCAGAAGATGCTTCTCGGCATGGACAGAGCTCTCCTTTTACTGTCATTTACATCTCGTCACTTCTTATATCCAACCTTCTAATGACGTCTCCTCCACAGCAATATAAGGGGCCTAGAGTCCTGGTCCTCGCAGTGCAGTTCCCACCCAGCACCGCCTACACTACTCGGGAGCTTTCTTAACAGTGCAGCCTCCGGGCTTCACCCCAGACTCGGCATCAGCATCTGCATGTGGGCAGGCCCCTGAGTGACTCCCGCACACACAGGAGGGTGAGCCGTGTGCCCTGACGGCCTCTCTGACCCCATTTCCACTCCGCACCCCCTTCCGAGCGGAGCTCTTCCCAGGAGCCTGACTACACAGCTGTCCTCTACAAAAGCCTTTTTCAATGTGTGGTTCCCCGCCCTCCATCCAGTCCTGGCATTTTCAGGAAAGTTGTCAGAGCGAACATTCTCAGGCCTCATCCCAGAACAGGGGATTGCAGCAGTGTGCATTTACCAAGCCCTCCGGGGCATTCTGATGCTCACATTTGAGGACAGCTGCTCCGAGACATCCAGGCTTGCTGCCTGGGACCCTCCTGTCTGCTGTCGCCTCCACCTCCAATATTCTTCTTTCATTTCCTCACACTGTTCGATTTCTGCTGAAACACCTTCTCTTTGGGGAGGCCTTCTTTCACCAAGCTTTATTTATCATTTATTAATCTTTGAGACAAAGTCGCACTCTGTCACTCCAAGTAGAGTGCTGTGGTGTCATAGCTCACAGAATTCTTGAACTCCTGGGCTCAAGTGATCTTCTTGCCTCAGCCTCCTGAGTAACTGGGACCATAGGTGCATGCCAGGATGCCTGGCTAATTTTTCTATTTTTATTAAAGATAGGGTTTCTTCTTGCTCAAGCTGGTCTTGAATGCTTGAGCTTAAGCAACCCACCCACCTCCGCCTTCCAAACTGCTAGGATTACAGGTGTGAGCCACCATGCCCAGCCCCTGACCAACCTTTAAAAAAATAGCAGATCTCTGCCACCGCACCCCTCCTTTCCCCCTTTGCTTGTTTTGTGTTTTGACTTTTATGTGCTTTTAACCATCTACCCATTTTGTGTCTCCCCCTTTCCCTGATCAGGAGGTTAAGCACATCCAGGGAAAAATGTGCATGAAGTGGGTGTTGCAAGGACGGCCTTAGTTAGTAGCAGGTGAAACCATGATGCCTCCTAATACCTAGCAGAAGAAGTGATGTCCTTTTAAATGCTTGAGAAATTTTTTAAGGATTTTTCCTCTTGGAATCTTGCTTTCAGAAATGTATGAGGCCAGGACTAAGTGATTCCAGCGGTGAGAGAGTATATTCTGCTAAGCATCTGATGGCAGGTGTTTGGAGATACAGATTTGAATGGGTCTGTCCACATTCCCCTCATCTTATTTATTACAAGGGTGGCCATTTGAACTTGGTTTACAGAGTACCATCATGCCCTCATGGGAAAGAATAAAATCAACCCATTTACGTAGGGACAAGAGGCAGGATGGTACAATAGCTGAAAGGTCTCCGAATGGGAAGACAGTGACCACCGAGTGCCTCACTTTCTGGCCTTGGACTCCACTTCTTCCTTTGAAACACGAGTGTTTTAGAATCAACGATAAATAAGATCCCTTTCAACTCATCTCTTACTTCTAAGATCCTAGACAAGGTTTCTTATTCTGAAATTGGAAACTGAGGATATGACAATGTGTGATACTTCTCGGCCACTCACAATTGCTCAATTAGAGGGAATTCTTCTATTGTTTCCAAAGGAGTCTCACCACATAAAGATTAATAATCAAATATTTACAATGGCAAAGGTTACCTTTATCATGAGAGGTGCCTTTTAATAATGCTCATTTAAACATTCTTTTTCTTTCTTTTAAATCTGCATGTAGCTGCTGGCTTGGACCTCTTTCAAGGGGACATCCTCTTGCAGGTGCGTACCTGTGGATGACACAGTCACATTCCTAAGACTGGCTGTGCCACTGGGCTCTGTAGCCATCCCTGGGATGGGTAATGTGAAGGGGACAGACAGTTCTAACCTGTAACCTGTGTCTGTGAGGATCACCACTGTGGTCGGTAGGGACAAAAAAAGAAACACAAGCAAACGACAGAAGAATGCGTGTTATTCTATGGCTTTTCAATCCAAATTTTCCAAAAAGCGAAGAATGAGAAGACAATGCCTTACAGCAGCTATCTCCGTTTGGGGGAATTGCAGGTCTTCTTTATTTTGTTCTTAAAATGTTCTCTGCTTTCCCCAAATTATCTCTCTTCTATTGCACTTATAATCAGAAGGCAGACGCTCCTGAACTGTTTGAACTCTGTGACAGCCTATTGGTGGAATGAGAGTTCTGGGAAGGAGGAGATCAAGGTGTGACCTTGAGGACTCGGCTTCCTACTCATCTTTGCCTTTGTTTTCACAGAAGTCCAGGAATGGCCTGCGAGATCCCAACGCCAGGTGGAAATTCCCCATTCCTTACATCCTGGCTGACAATCTGGGTAAGGTTAACCATTCTCACTTAGCGGGTTAACTGTTCTCCCCACCCTCTTCCTGGTCAGCAGCTTCAGATTCGGAGTAACCACCAGTGTATAGGAGGCTTTCCAAACCCTGGTGATTCATCAGCTGCTGGGAAGAAACACATGATGTTATATCAAAACCAGTGCTGCTTAGCCAGAGATACACAGTATTAAAGCATAATTTTTAAAACACACCACACATTAAAGTGTTAACGAAATCAGGACCAGCGTAAAAACAGAAATATAATGAAATATAATTTGGCATCATGGCAATGAACAATTTGCACGTTAATAGTTTGTCTGGATGAATGTAAACACAGTACGAGGACATTATTTTCAGCATATTGATTTCTTCTCTCTTTGCTGCAGGAGGAAAATGCCACATGTGAAAGTTCATGTTCCGTATGCTTGTGGTCTATTTTCTCAGTATGAATGATTTCTACTCTTTTCTCTCCCTTAAGATAAAGGTCAGAATAAATTATAGTTTACTCATTGTTGGAAATAACAACTGGTGGACGTAACTAAATATTAGCAGCCAAGTGTAGGAACTGGCCTGGCCCTCGAGCAGTGACTGATAGCTCGGCAGCCACATCAGCTCAACATCTGCAAGGCCCCTCGTGCTTACATAGACAGGCAGGACTGGAGAGCAGAGGGAAGCCGGGACAGGGTTGCTGCCTCTTGCTGGGTGGCCAGGCTGCTCCCACTCTCAGGAGATGCAGATCAGGCTCAGCATTTTCCATCGTCCTTACCAGCTCTGCCTGCAATCGCTGTTCTGGAGCACAGCCACACATCCACCATGCCGTTGTATTCAGTGGTGTGAATACTGTGTGCTAACCGACCGCACTGGCGTTATTTTCTCCAGTGTTTGCCTTGCAAATTTACAGAGCACCAATATTTATTGGAGTGTGATTTAAGAAACATCAGCCTGAAGAGAGGTTCTTTCCCATTACAATTCCTCCCATCTGTTACACACCCTGTTATGTGCCAGGCACTGTTTCCACCTGATGTCTTGTTTAATCTCACCATGCCTCGGTCATGGGTTGTCTGTACTCCCCAGACTTCTCAGTGCGTAAGATCCACCCGAGGATCTTCTTCACCTACAGAGTAGGTCAAGGTTACTGGCTGAGATTCTCCATGTCTAATGATCCCACAGGCAACACTGACGTTGTTGGTCTCTGTGCACAGACCACAACCTGAGTTGCAAAGTCCATTGTGAAAGCCAACCTACTAACTGGAGTTCAATATTTGTGTGGGATTCCTTTTTAAAGTTAAATTTACATAGAATGAAATAAATCAGTAGTAGGCAAGGCTTCCGACAAACTCATAAACTTATATAACCCACTTTTCCATCATTCCAGAAAGTTCCTTTGGATCTTTTCTAGGCCATCCCCACCCTCACTTCCCAAGAGACAACCACCATTCTAATCTTTCCCATAAATAAGTTTTACCTGATTTTAAACAGATATATGGACAAATGGAATCAGACACTGAAGTGGTTATTCTTCATGTCTGGCTTCTTTTTCTTGTTTTTGAAGTTCTTTTACATTATTGTGGATCAATAATGAATTCTTTTTCTTGATACTACTCAGTGGTATTTCTCTGTATTAATACACTGAAAATTATCCTCCATTTTTCCTACAGGAGTTATTATGAAGAAAGTTGTGATTATTCTTGTACAAGCTTGTCTAGATATGTGGTTTCTATTTCTCTTGGTTAAATGCCTAGGAATAGAATTGCTTGATAATAGGGTAAGTCTATGTTTCACTTTATGAGAAAATGCCAGTTTTCTGCAGCGGCTGTGCCATTTTACTTTCCTACTAAAAATGTATGAGCGTTCCATTTTCTCTACCTCTTCACCAACATGGGCCATGTTAATCTTTTTCATTACAGCCATTCCAGTTTAAGTGAAATGGCATCTCCCTGTGATTTTAATTTGCATTTCCCTAATGACTAATGACCTTTAGCACATTTTAATATCCTATGAGCTATTCACGTATCTTCTTTTATGAAGTGTCTGTACATCTCTTTTGCAATTTTGAAAAAATTTTACTTGTTGTCTTTTGATTACGTGTAGTAGAATTATATATGATGGATAAGCCCTTTGTCAAGATATATGTGTTATGAATATTTTCTCCCAGTCTCCGACTGGTCTTTTTGTTTTAGTGGCATAGTTTGAAGAGCAAAAATTGTAAGCCTCATAAAGTTTGGTTTGTCGATTTATAATATTGATTATTTAATTTATAGTTTCTGCTTCTATATTGTAAGCCTTCCTTGCTGAAGTCGCAAAGATTTTCTCTAATATTTTTTAAGAGCTTTATAGTTTCAGATTTCTCTGAAATTTATTGCAAATTAATTTTTACATGTAGTACAATGGAGAGGTTGAAATTGATTGACTAATATTTGTTAATCCGGTTGTTCTAGTATCGCTTGCTGTAGCTACTTTCCTCGTTGAATTGACTTGGTGCCTTTGTCAGAAATAACTGTTTAACGGTTGATTTATTTCTGGAACCCCTAGGTCGTTGCTTTGTTCTACAACTGTTGAACACAGTTATCACACAGTGTTAATTACTCTAGCTTTATAGTTAACCTAAATCACTCATCAGTGCTGTTACTTTGTAGATTGTTTAGGATGTTTTTATAAGAATTCTTCTCATCTACTAATACAGTATTACATCTTCTTTACCAATTTTTGCATCATTTATTGCTTTTTTCTTGCCTTATTACACTGGCTAGGACTCCCATAACCATAGAATAGAAGTAGTGAGAGTATCATCTTTGCCTTGTGTCCAATTTTAGTGGTAGCATTCCATATTCCATTCATATGCGACACTAACTGTGGGTTTTCTGCAGACGCCTTTGTATGGAACATGAACGTTTTCTTGATGAATAGCTGTTAAAATTTGCCAAGTATCTTTTCTGCAACTACTGAGATAATGCTATAATTTTTATTCTTTATCCTGTAACATGGGAAATGACATCAAATTTGAATGCTAAACCAACTTTGAATTTCTCAGATGAGCACCAGAACAAGTAAAACTCATCTATTAATAAAACATATATGCATGTATATACATTTCTATATATCTACATATAGACAGATAGATATCTAGCTGGCTGAGATGTGTTATCCTGCTCATATTTTGCTAGATTTCATTTGCTAACGTCTTGTTAAAGATTTTTGTGTTTGTATTTGTGAAGAATATAGGTTTCTAATTTTTTCAATTGTATTATCTTTATCATGCTTTCGTAAAGCAGATCTCAGAAAACAAACTTGGAAATCTTCCCTCCTCTTTTATCTTTTACATGAGTTTGTGTCGGATCAAAACGAGTTTCTTTTTTAAATGCCAATAAAATTCACCAATAAAATAATCAAGTGATGAAATCTTTTGCAGGGTAGTATTTTTATAATGAATTCAGTTTATTTAATATTTTTAAAATAATGCACATGTTTCTATTTCTTTGTATGCCCCCTTGGCTAATTTGTATTTTCCAATAATGAAAAGCTTAAGAGTATCTCCATAGATGCAGGAGAGGCATTGGACAAAATTCAACAGCTATTTTAACTAAGGTGCTAAAAATATTAGCATACTATCTTATTGTCTTCCTAAGGCCTGTATAATCTTCAGTGACAGTCTAATTTCATTCCTGATGCTGGGAATTTGTGTTTTCACTCCTTTTTGTGGATCAGGTTTGCTAAGGTGATATTGATGTTATCAATCTTTTCAAAAGTAACAATTGTGGCCTTGTTAATTTTCTCTTTGCTTCTCTGGTTTCTATTTAGATGCTCTCTGTTCCTTATGATTTCCTTCCTTTCTCCTTCAAGTTTAGTTAACTCTACTTTTTCTATATTCTGAAGGTGGAAGTTTATATCGTTGATTTTACGTATTCATTATTTTCTAATATAATATACGCTACAATATGGCATCTAAAGCTACACATTTTATTTGAAGCTCTACTCTTACTGCTTTCTACAAATTTTGGCATGTTTATTAAAATCTGCTTTACATATTTTCTGATTTCTGTTGTCATCCCATGTCATCCCCATGGGCCAGTTAAAAATGGGTTTATGTTTTTTAAAAATCTCCTTAGACTTAATATTGTGCCACTTTGCATAAAATGTAAGCTTTTTATCATAGCAAAATTCCATTCATATCCCTGCCCTTTATACTATTATTGGTTTATAGTTTCTTCTATGTACTTTAAAAATCTTATGATACAATGTTATAATTTTTGCTTTATATGATAAGCTGTCCTTCAAAATGTTTGATTAAAAAAAGAGAGTCTTTGTTTTTATTTTTATACTTGCAATTTCTGCTGCTCTCCGTCTCTTCTGCAGATTTGAGCTCCTATCTAGTGTCATTTCTGACAAACTTCCTTTAGTGGTTCTTGTAGAGCAGATCTGTTGATGACACATTCTTTTCTTTCTTTTTACCTGAAAATAATCTTTATTTTGTCATCATTTGGAAAGGTATTTTTACTGGAAATAGAATTTGCCTTTAGAGTGGGGTTTTTTTAAAGCACTTTTTAACATATAATCCATTGTATTTTTCTTTCCCAATATTTGATTATAAAAAATATTCTAAATATGCAAAAAGTTAACATCATTGTGCATTGAACACTCACATACTCACCAGCTAGATCATACAATTAACGTTTGGTATATTTGCTTTAGCCCATCTATGAGATCTATACCCATCTCTCTATGAACCTATAAATTAATTCTGTTTGTGATGCATGTGAAAGAAATTTTCAGGTACATAGTACACTGTACCCCAAACATCTCAGCATACATATTGTTACCTAGAGTTCAATATGTTTATCTATCGTTCCTTTTTATGTAAAATACACACAGGGTAAAATGCATGAGTCTTAGATATACAATGCAATGAATTCTTAAGGATTCCTACACCTTTGTAACCCAAATTCCCATCAAGTGATGAGCCCCATTTTTAGCATTCCAGAAAGTTTTTTTCATGGCCTTCCCAGTTAT